CGTTTCGGACGAAACCCATACTGCCGATCATTAATTATGGAGTGATCTTCTAGGTATTGGGTCAGTTGTTTGTTAAGGATCCGCTCTAAAACCTTGCATATTATGGAAGTAATGGCTATGGGACGGTAATTATGCGGGTCTGATCGGTCGCCTTTTTTGGGAACTGGTTGCACATTAGCCTCTCTCCAAGAGTCCGGCACACGACCTGAAGAGAGTGACAGACGATACAGTCGCGTTAGCACGGGGGTCAACTCAGCTGCGCAGCTCCTAAGTACAATCGCTGGGATACCATCAGGACCACTAGCTTTCCGGACGTCGAGAGACTGCAGCTGCGTACGCACATCGCATTGTCTGATACGAATATCAGACATCGTGTAGCCACAGTGAGGTAGAGTTGGTGGCTGTGCGTTACAGTCGTCGAGACAAGAGTTAGCCGCAAACAGATTTGCTAAGAGGTCGCCTTTATCTTGCGGCTTGTGGGCTAGATTGCCGTCAGAATATCTCAGCGGGGGCAGCGAGGGCTGGCAGAAGTTCGACGCAACGGCTCTGGCCAGACGCCAGTAACTACGACTACCAGTGGGATGCGTCAGGAGTTCTTGGCCAACTCGTGTGACGCGCTGAGCATCCGCTCTGATGTACGCTCTTTTGCAAGACCTGGTGGCATTATTGTAGGCTGTTTTAAGTGAGTTCGTATTGGGATCGTCTGAAGCTCGACCCTTGATCCAAGCGCGGTATGCAGTCTGTTTGTTCTCAACAGCCACAGCACACTCGCGGTTGAACCAGCGGTTGCGCCTCCCTTTACTGACGACATCCGAATGCGGGATGTAGTATTCCATCCCGACTAAGATCTCATCAGCAACGGCAGTCGCGCTAGCTGTTGGATCCACCTCACTAAAACAGCGCTGCCGCCAAGGAACAGATGCAAAATAGTCCCGCATACCGTCCCAATCTGCCGACGCATAATGCCAAATGCGGCGTTTAGCCACAGTAGGTGGTGGTGGCAGTAACGTTGCCACTTTAGTGGATATCAAGCAGTGATCCAAAGTGCCCAGAGGGGCTTGGACCTCCACCCGATATCCAGCCGGGCGAGACGTCAGCAGAAGGTCCAACAAAGAGGGCGCGTCACCAACCCTATCTGGTATCCGGGTGGGCTGGTTTACCAGTTGGGTTAAATCGTGTGTGAGAGCGAATGTGTGGGCAGTTCTTCCAGCATGGTCAGTTTTAGAGGAACTTAACCACGACTCGTGGTGGGCATTGAAGTCGCCTAAAAACACCAATTCCGCTGTAGGAAACTGCGCCTGCGCGTCATCTGCCGCCCGAGTAAGGTGGTCTATGAGACAAGTTGTCTCCATGTCGCCGTGGTGGGATCTGTAGAGGCACATGTAGACACGGCAATGACTGCCCAGGTCAACATGTACCCCAAGGATGGAGAAGGAGGGGTCCTCCAAATGACGCAGACGGCGACAGCAAACATCTGCCCGGACAAACAAGCAGACCCCAGCTTTCGCTTTGAAGGACTCTTCAAGCATATAGCCAGGGTAATTCAAGTAGCTGCTGTCAGCCGGGCAGAGTATTTGCGTCTCCGTAAGGACCAGCATTTCTGGTCGAGCCGTCTCAAGATGTTGGTGGACGGCGTGGATGTTACTGTGGAGTCCTCGAATGTTCGTGAACTCCACCTTAAAGAGCGCTTTAGTGGTGGGGGTGTGCACCGCTGTACGACCGAAATTTGTACTTTGCGCTAACATGTTGGAGGGAAAAAGAGGCGTGAAGCGAGAAAACAGTGCCGCGACACAAGCGGTCAAATCGCGGGGCCTGCTTCCCCAGAGACTTGCCTACAGACAAGTTGCGCTGATCCGCCAGACGGAAGGGCCCCCGAACCCCCCCGGGAATGGCCGCCGGGACCCCACCTCCCGGTCACCAACCGGCACGACGAACCACACCGAGATTATGCGCGGTATGGTGAGGCAGCCTCACGAGCTGGTTAAGCACGCTTGGGCCCCTGTACTGTACCGCGGGCGGCCAGCGGAACAACCGTTTCTACGGGTCTCCCTGGCCGGCGGGTCAATGCAGTTGTCCTGGCACTGGTTCGGCGGAAGCCTCCACAGACCACAAATGTCGCGGCAGCGTTGGCTCGGGCTCTGGTTGTACGCTGACTGATCCCGGAACGCATCTGACTAGCGAACACTTGGCGGGTTTTCCACCATGCGCACGGTGGTCACTAACCAGCCGGGTTTTCAAGCCCTACCACCAGTGGAGCAGCTGGTAGCTCAATATCCCTTAGTCGCCTCTTACGACACCCACGGGAAGAGAGGGGCGGTGAATTGTATTCTAATCCGTCACCGCACGGCACTAACTTAAAGAGAAATATCTCCGTAATACTTAAAGAGAAATATCTCCGTATAAAAGTAATATGCAAAATATGTACCTAACGAATTACAACAGCCAATTAAGTGGTCACTCTCTGAAGCTAACCAAGCCTCCATTTGCTAGCAACCCCAGAAAACACTTATTGCCCCTTCGTGTTATGTAGTTGTGGAATTCGCTCCCAGAAACAGTAATTAGTGCTCCGACAGTGAATAGTTTCAAAGCTAAACTTGATAAACATTTTGAAAACTAACAAGATACAAGTGCAGTGATATGTACGCGTCAGCTCGTAGAGCTGCTAGTGTATAATTTTGATAATAATAAAATTTAGAAATAAATATTCGTTTTAGAGTTTTCAGGATTTTATTTGATCAGATAAAGTACATCCTATCATATAACATATTAGCACATACTTTAGACAATTATCCTTAGATGTATCGTGTATTTTTTATAAGATCGATATTTAATAGTGTATACCTAAGCCATTTCGACCCCTCCTACGTAAAGTATCGTATGTCGAAATTGCCAAGGTTAAAACGCTCCCCTCGTTTTAAACTTCTGAATTCACTGAAATAAGCATAATACGTGACTTTAGCATTTCTCAGTTTTATTCGGCAAAACTCGTTAATCACATAGAATATTATAAAATTCTAGATATCGGTTAGATGATCTATAATGATCTACTAGATGATCACTCTATGTGAGTACCGAGTGAATTCAGAACTTTAAAATACTCCCCTGTAAACGATTTGATCTAGCAAAACAGTCTTTGCCGCTTCTCCTCCGGTGACACGCCTTAAGCTGGCCTTGGACTGGTTAGAATTTAAAGAACGTTACAGAACGACATATTTCGACTCATCCGAAGAACAAAGTCCGATGTGATTATATAGCGAAAAGAGAATAAGTACGTTACGAGAATAATTTCGTTATTCAAACTAACAATTACGTAAAGGTGTTTTGAAAATTTATATATCTTATTTCGTTTCGGAAATATAAAATCGAACAACGGTCAATCTGACATCCACAGCGAAGAAGAACGAACGAAATTTACTACGTCCTGAGAACAAGTAGTCTTGCACATAGATCTTTGTTCTACGGGTGAGTCGATTTGAGATATTACAATTTATTAAATCAATAATTAAATCTAGCATTAGATGTTTTTTTTTTTTTCATATACCGATAATATACAAGGTGCTAACAAATTAGATAAGAATGTGAATATTTTAAAAACCAAATATAAAGACACGATAACAAACACAGAAAAATGTGACGTTAAATGAAACGTGAGGTCCGCTGATTCGTTCCGTGGATAAGTTGGTATAGCGTCTGCGACGGTATGCTAGAGGACGTCGGTTCGAATCCGGCCGGATCGAAGGAATTTTTTCTGAGTGTTCGATCTTTGTATTAGTAATTATATTATATAATACTCATGACTGCCTCAGTGGCCGAACGGTTACCATGCCGGACTGCCACGCAGAGGTCCCAGGTTCGATTCCCGGGCCGAGAGAAATGGTTGTATGGCCTACAATTATTTCTCTCGTGAGTTTGGGTGTAATTTGTGGTTGTCTATGTGTGTGTCCATGGCACCCGCGACACAGGGTTTCCCTAGTGCGGGGCTATGTTGAGTGTGTGCGTTATTTATTTATTATTTATTATTTATTTAATAATAGTTTGCCAATTACGACCTCACTCTAACCACTTTAGAATTAAATAATCGCAATTCGTCAATATTGTTTTGTTCGAAATATTTAAGAAAACACATTAATTACTAAACACTTCGTCAATAACAATGCAATTTAGTAATTAAAACCCGTTCAGTATTATCTTCTGAAACCACTTCAAAATCACTATCACAATGAAAAAGTATGTAATGTCACGATTTGTTATCAGTTATTTCTAATATACATATTTTATTACAAGGTTGAACAAACTTTCAAATTCGTTTCTTTTTTTGCACGGGAAAACAAAATTTTAAAATTGCGTGTTTTGTTTGTATTTTAAATTGACTATTCTCATCGTAACTACCGACTTTCAAAAGTATCGCTACCGAATTGGTGAGCAGCTTTTTTTTTCAATTAACGCATGATACAAAATTATGGCAAACGTTTTTTACAGACATCCACCAGCTCAGACTGTGATAAAGTAGTCCAAGAATCCACCTTGTACGCTGTTATGTGCTACTCCGGATCGGCTACCATCCTCACAACCGCAATCTCCTTCGTCGTAGGGTACATTGGGAAGAAAAAATTAACACTCATGATATTCGCTATGTCTACTTCAGCTGGAATTGTTCTGCTACTTATCAAAATTCCACTTTTAAGCATCCTCATCTTCATTATTTTCCTTTACATTTCTTTTATTTTGGGAAATATGAATACTTACTTGGTGGAATTGAATCCTACACATTTAAGGTTTGTATACTTAGAAAATCGAAATAATATGATAACTTATTTAAACACACTTGAATTAGGTAGACCACAAATTGTTCTTCATAAAATCAAGCCATCTTAAAAATCTAAATCAAAACAAATACAAAGAAAAATTTCTTCGATCCAGCTGGACTCTAACCAGCGACCTCGCCACATCGCTCTCCCAACTGAGCTACAAAACGAGTTTTATGCCAAGTCTTTGAAATCTATCGTAATCGGATTTAATAAAATAGTCCATAAATTATTAGTAAATTACAAAATGTTTAGATTGTGTAATGTAGCATTGCGCTGTTACATTACGCAAGATTCTTGAATCTGTTGTGCTCTACTTGATAACATTTCCTAGCAGAAGCAGAGAGCTTATAGGCTCAATTTGCATTGCCGCGGAATAGAACAGAAGCTATTTTTGGTACCATATCATAATTAACTTTACGTCGTGTGTGTAACGTACAAAACTATAAACTAGATATGAGAAGGGAGCATAAAATGTTAGTAGGTGCTTACAACTATGTTAGTAGAATGAAAAGTGTTAATTTTCATGGACAATGGACATCCAATACTTAAGGTTTGGGCGGTCCGTTTACTCAATAAAAAAATTCATCGGGTAATATGAAGACATTATTCGGAAGAAATATAATTTATTTTTAACCGACTTCGAAAAAAGGAGTATGTTCTCAATTCGACTGTATGTTTTTTTATATGTATGTTACGCGATAACTCCGGCAATTGTGAACCGATTTTGATGACTCTTTTTTAGTGGTTTCCATTTAAATTTGATGAAAATATTCCACCTCTAAAGGTGACAAACTAGGGGATGACTAACTATACTAAGATTACTAATTTTTTTTTTTCTTTAAATATATATCGACTTAGCTACTAAAAAAGTAGATAAAACATCTAGCGCAGCGTTTTGCTCGGGAACGCGCCTTAAGAAGACAGTTGCTACTGCTCCTCACTCTGACAGACAGGGATGCCACTCGTTTGCGAACGACTGCCTAAAAACCATCAATCCTAACGTCCGCGAACACCCTAAGGCGATCGCTCCAGTCCCCTGAGGGCTTGTTGAACGTTTGGTACAGGCTATTTGCAAATTGCGAACATGAACGGTACCGCCCACACTCAAAGTGTTGCAAATAATCTGTACCCGGCTTAAGATTATCTTACCCCCTAGCCGAGCTTTCGGCTCTGAGAGCCTTCTTACGCAATAAAGTCAGCTTTATGGTTGGTTTGTATTTATGTATGTAATTAAAGTTCAAATTGGCTTAAAAGGTTTCTTAAGAATTTTACGACTCAAGTTAAAGGTTGAGTTTGTTTAATACTTTTATTCTCACTTACTCAGAACCAAATGGTCGGTTAGGGGGGTCAGGTATCTTAGGTCGTTCGCTGTTAGACAATTGACATAAATTCCTATAAGCTATGTGTATTACGAAATTTTCGTTACAAAAACTTCTCTTTCGTTCTTCGGCAATGTAAATTGGGCCTAGCTGTATTGATATTTACAAAACAGTTTAATGTTCCAGAGGCATGGCGACTTGCTTATCTGTGGTCGTAGCACGCGGCTTCGGTTTCATCAGCGTGCAGATAATCGCCGAGCTACTAGCCGAGCACTGCCAGCTCATGGTCACTGGAAACGTTATACTTTTGTTTTGTAAGTTACAAATTATTGAAAATAAGACTTTGAGGTCACATGATAGGCTCCAGCATGCTGCATTTTAATTTAAATCGGAAGCCAACCGATTGGGTAGTCGCGAAATCAGATGGATTTCCGAGCGAGAAGATGAACCTGATTCCTACTATATCTGTGTATCTGTTCCGATTTGAAATGTCGAAAGTTTCCGATCGGCCAGTCGTGAATCGTAATTATGCGACTCGGAAGAGACGCAAAGACATAAGCCTCCCCTTGAGCACGTCATCTCTCCCGGTCTTGTGCCGCCCGCATCCAGGCTCTGCCGGCCAACTTTCTCAGGTCGTCTGTGTATCTTGCCGCAGGGCGTCCCACACTACATTTTCCTTGACGTGGTCGCCATTCCAGAATGAGTCTGCTCCATCGGCGATCAACCCTCCTGCAGACATGTCCAGCCCACAGCCACTTAAGCTAACTGATTTTGCGAGCCATATCGGTCACTTTAGTTCTCTGACGTATGACCTCGTTAAGGATTCGGACCATCAGAGAATCCCCAAGCATAGCGCGCTCCATCGCACGCTGAACGACCTTGAATTTGTGAATGAAGGCTGTTGTTAATGTCCACGTCTCGGCTGCGTAGGACATAACTGGTAGAACGCACTGGTTAAATGCTTTAGTTTATAAGGTTTGTGGAATTGACGATCTGAAGATGTGGGTTGGCTTACCAAAAGCCGCCCAGGGACATAGGCTGAATAATTTTATGCCTACATAAAATCCCCTCTTATTTGTTTTTCAATTTTCAATAATGTTATTATTTTATTTTATTACATAATTTTTATATTGTTGTGCACGTAAACTCGTTATTATAATTATTGTCTCCAGTATTTAGGCCTGCTGGAAGAAATTTCTGTTAGAAATAAGAAGTAGGTACTGGTACTTTCTATTTGTTTTCCTTGTTGTGTTTTTGTTTTTTCTGAAAACATATGATTAAATAAATAAATAAAATATTGTTTCGATTTTAGAGCAGGCATAATTATCTCTACATCTAGTATAAGAAAATCTCAAGTGAAAATTAATACAACCTGCAAAACAAAATGTAATATATGTCCCGAATCATCATAGTAAAGGGTATTATCACAGACGACAATTTCTTCCGTGGGTATTATGGATATTTTTACGTAATATAAAATTCTTTTTTTTTTCAGCGGGCTTAGTCGTTTCGTGTTTCTTGCCGTCTGACCAAAGTAAGTCTAATAAACAAACCCATCTTCCGAGTGCTGACCTGCCAGACCAGCTAAGCGAAACGCCTCAAGATCTAAATTCAATTAGGAGTACAACATCTAGTGCTCTAGAATCGAGCTTATATATTGTAAATGTAAATTATGATAAACCCAGTGTTCTTGTAATAAAAGCTTAACAAATTATTGTTTTCTTTTCCAATTACCTTAATTTTGCGTAAATTGAAACGTTTTATATAGTGATACCAGCGTACCTCCCTTTTCCCGAGAAAAAAAAATCTACATTTATTAACAATTTACGGTAATCATTGTATTTTGTGTGCACAATGCATCTTATGTGAATATTTTAAACATATTTTGGAAATTTTAACTGAAACTCTAATCGACATCACCGCTGTCGCCGTATGTCGTAGTTTAAATAATATTCTTCGTTAAAATTACTCATTTGCGGGCAAATTTTCTAAAACCGACGATTCTAACTTCTGCTGTCATCGAACTGTCAAACTGTCATTCACATTTCTGGAGATTTGTGAGCGAGCGGAATGTCTGAATCTGCCGGCGATAATTCAAAACTGCGAGTTGCGGTTCTAGGAGGTAAATTAAAATCAATTCAACAAGCTTCTGCTTCATAATAAAGTTTTGCTAACTTGTAGTCATTATTGTGAAGTGGGTGTTTCCTTTGGTGTTGTTGTTTTTTCTTTTTATAACGGTTTTTGGAAAGTGTTAGTCATCAAGTGACCTGTCTTTCCTTGATTCGGTGCAGGCTGCGGCTTTATTGGGCGGAACTTGGTGGAATACCTTATAAATAATGACTTGGTGAGCTACCTCCGAGTAGTCGACAAGACCCCGCCACAGCTCGCGTTTTTAAACCCGGTGCATTCGAAAATCTTCGAAGACCCCCGCGTGGAATACAAGAGCGCCAACCTAATAAACCCCAGTGAGTATTCTAT